GCACTGACAAGGGGAAACCACGCCGGAAAATTTAAAGAATTACAAGTTCAACTGTTTATTTTCCATAGCAAATTCACAAACAAACAACTATGCTCTTTAATATACAAAGATTTATTACTGCATACTTAAATACAGTGCAAATTCCTTAAAGATATATTATGGGAGATTAGATAAAGAGTTGACAGTTCTCGCTATAATAGTTAAAAACTAGATAATGTAAAGGCAATTTGCTGAACATTTCATTCAAATTGATCCACTATGAACCGAGAATTTAGCGATTGAATTTAAAGCCTAGCCTCGATCCTCATTACTAAAGTCGTTAAGATACAAAAACATAGTCTTGATTATCCATTTTAGGATTTACTCATCAATGAACATTGAGCAGCAGATCAGTTTCAAATCCAGTGTAAATCCGACACATAAGATGACATCAAGAGTTGATTATGGTCTGGATAAGTTAATTAATGTCTATTAATAATTTAGATAACATTTCAGGCCTAAAGAAAGACCTGCAATAGGTAGATTTAGCTCTTGCATAATGTATGTTTAAGGAGAGAGAGAGAGAGAAATGGGGTTTAACGTCCACACAACACAAACTAGGCCAATTCGGACTAACATATAGTTCAATTTTATTTCCATATAATTCGGTTATGCGTAGGGGTCTTTAGCAGTGGGAGGACACCGGAGAACCTGGAGAAAACCCACGAGGTTGGACAGGCGACCCTACTCCTTGTCACGTACAACCGGGGAATCGAAACCACGCCAGTTGACTCAATGACAGACCTTATGATACAGTGCACACATGCTAACCATTCAGCCATCCAACCCCCTGTATGTTTAAGGACATGCCATATGTAGTGCAGATGCCATGATGAAGTGTTCAAATACATGGCATAATAGACATGTAAACAACTGTTTGGTTTCCTTTGATGAATCCTCAAACAAGCAAATATTCTCTTTATTATATATTGATTCATCCAGTTGCAGATTTCACGATGAAATCTTCAAATGCATCGCATAAAAGCATATAAAATACAGTCACAGATAGAATTACGCTAAAATAAAATCAGAACATAATTCCACTATTCACCACAGACTTTGTCAGTTTGTTCGATGCACATGGAAAGCAGTTATTGATGTCCCTTTGAACGGCATTGCAAATCACATCAAAGAAGGAAACGAATCCATATAATATTATAAAAGCGATGACTTGAATACCTGGTGAACCAGACTAATATAATACACTTCCGCTAATTAATGGCAATTTTTACCTTAATTAACAGGCCTTTCATGCTTCATCTACAAACAACTAGAAAGACACGTGAAGGTCGGTCAAGGTCATGCCGCTAATAAAAGCCTTTAAGTCGTGTAGGGAACCTGATCAAGTCTGTTGAGACCAAGTCATGTGTTATCAGACTATCGGTAAATAACGGTGTAAATTGGCCGGAAGCAGGAACATTTAGTAATTTAACTGTATATAAAATGGATGAGAGTTCACTGAAGAATAAGATTAACTTGTGATTAATGTGATAACGTCTTGTCACCGCTATTTCATACTTCGATGAATTGATTTATAAAATTCATCTAAAGAAATGAATTATAGAGAGAAATGGGGTTTAACGTTCTACTTTTGTGCTATCCGGGCTAATGAAGACTCGCATTTCGAATTTCAATTGTCAAGGGTTCTCTTACATGCGGAGGGATGGATGGCTGAATAGTTAACATGTGCGCATTGCATGAGGAGCAGTCCATTTGCTGATTACACTATTTTGCTTGAATACACTATTTTGCCTATAACGTTTTTTAGGACTTCGAATTCTTTCTTATGGTTTGGATTGTTCGTACTTGGTTTTATTTTATCATAAGGTCTGTCAAGTGACCTGGTTTTGTTTCCCCGACTGAATTTTAGGCCTAGTCTCAATCATCATTACTAAAATCGGTGCAATAAAAAACAAAGTCTTGATTACCTTTTTTGACGTTAAATCATCTATCACAAAATGTATTCAAATCTAGTAGCGATGATATTGAGAGTTGATTATGGTCTTGTTTTCTTAATAAATAATTTAGATAAGAAAGACCTGCAATTGGCAGATTTAGCTCTTGCATAATGTATGTTTAATAGTTAAATGTGCAACAGGGAATTCTTTTAAAGGAATCTGAAGCACTGGGGCCACGAGAGATTCTTTCCACTGGATGTGAATGCCCTGTCCTCTGTTTTACAAATTTTCACTTGCCATCATTGGTATAGCTCCACTGCTTCTTTAATTTTTTACAAAGAAGGATACACTTTTTCAGCATACCTACTGCCTACTTCAACTCTCAAGGGATACTGAGAGCGAGAAAGAGAAATGGGGTTTAATGTCCACTCAACTCAAACTAGGTCATTTTGGGACTAACATACGGTTTAATTTTATTTCAATAATTCGCTTTTGCGAATGACACATCTTATGATACAACCACTACAGAGGGAGGTTGGTTGGCCGAATGGTAAAACGTGTGCGCGATAGATGATCAGTCAGTCAACCCGGAGACTGGCACCCTAAATAGGTAACCCAGAGTCTGGTCCTCTGTGTGCCTGGGTTAGGGTTAGGGTTAGGGTTAAGGCTTTCTCCTGATCCTACGGTTTCATATCAGAGCTAAGTGCAAGTGAATTATTGAAATAAAATTGAAAAATGTGTCCCGATATGACACAAGGGAATTATTGAAATAAAATTGAACAATGTGTCCCGATATGTCTTCTCGCTCTCACAGACATCACCTTGACAACTACGAACCTGGCTTGAAAACCCCAATCGCAGACAAAACGCTTACGACATCATTAATGGAAATAACCAATCAGATCAAACTAATTGGGGATGTTATTCTGATACAAATCAAACATATTTACGATGGAAATATAGCAGACAGCATAATCAAGTCTGACACTTTTTGTCAGATAAAACATAGACACGTCAAATTATATCGGATACATTTCTTTTCATCTGCCTTTCGGTGCCGATCCACTCCCTTGACATTTTAATCAAAAGAAAATTACACAGCAGTGATCAAATCAACATGAACAATAGAATTACACCCAAGATTCCATAAATAATTAACTTAACGAGCACTCGCCAACCTTCATTAAACGTTTCGCGAATAAATACAATCATATCCTGATTAACTTGTGCGATAAACAAACACGCATGTACGTGTGTTACCGTGGTGATTATACAAGAATCAATACTCCTGGGAATATCGCGACAAGACAAGACAATGGTACCAGAGAATCCAAACTAGATTATTTATACACATTTTCAACAGTAAATAATCAAATATTTCTAAAAAGTATCTTTAATGATAATTATCATAACAAAACAGAGAGAGAGAAATAGGTAATTAATAAAATATCTCTAAAAATAATAATCACAAATCCCATATGAACAACAAAACTATATACGGAAAACACCGGAAAACTACTGGAAAACACCAGAAAACTACCGGAAAACACCATGTTATACTGAATGCCGGAAAACACCATGTTATACTGAATACCAGAAAAACATTAAATACCGGAAAACACACTAAATACCAGAAAATACCCTAACCCGGAGACTGGCACCCTAAATAGGTAACCCAGAGTCTTGTCCTCTGTGTGCCTGGGTTAGGGTTAGGGTTAGTTTCCGGTTTATAGTATAGCCTTTCTCCGGGTTATCTATTTAGGGTGTTTTCAGTTATTTAGGGTGTTTTCCGGTATTTAGTGTTTTTTCAGTGTTTTCCGGTATTTAGTGTTTTTTCAGTGTTTTCCGGTATTCAGTATAACATGGTGTTTTCCGGTAGTTTTCCGTTGTTAGGACTTCGAATTCTGTCTTATGGTTTGGATTGTTCGTACTTGGTTTTATTTTATTTCTGATGTTTTCCGGTTGTTTTCCGGTATATAGTATAGCCCCATATGAAGCATCCAAGGAAAATGCATACGTTTTCCGATTGTTAGAGAGAGAGATGGGGTTTAACCTCCAGTCACTGACATAAACTAGGTAATTTTGGGACAAACATATGGTTCAATTTTATTTCAACAATTTGCTTGCACCTATGGGTCTTCAGCAGTGAAAGGAAACCGGAGGACCCAGAGAAAACCCATGAGGTTGGACAGGCGACCCACCTTATCACGTACAACCAGGGAATAGAAACCATGCAAGTTGACTCAATGACAGACCTTATGATACCATTCGGCCATCAACCGCCCCCGCTCCTCGTTCGCTGTGGGAAACCAAATGGTTGAACTAATAATACGTTCAATAACTTTATAATAATCAATTTTCTACAAGTAATTTAATGATGCTATTCATTTTTGTTTTATATGCAGTATTCAATAAACTAATTGACAATTAATGATTATTGCATTTTTATAGAAACATCATAAAAGAGACCAGCTGATTACCTTCAGGAAAATGATTTATTTCTCTGTCAAATTCTTAATTTAAAATCAAAACTATATAAGACGCCCACTCATGCAGCCCCGCCCGCGCCTACCTCCTGGTAATTAAGCCAGTAATGATTTGATGTATATCTGCACATGTACCGTTTGGTGTACCAATTAAAGGGACTATCCTGATTTGAACAGTGTCTCAAAAATAAAAGTCCGAGTACGTATGAAATTTAAGCGCTAAAATATAGAGGAATGGTGTATTTACCCTGTCTCAAAATTTCAACTCAAAATATTGAGTCGTTTCGACGTGAACGTTTAAATTGCTTATCCGGACACATAACCCTTTTAAGATTTCAGGTCAATTTTTTCGTTGGGTGACCTGATAATCGATTCCCATTCCTTTAGAGCTCTATTCATCGAATGACCCATGTGCTGTACTTGATAACGAAAGATTATTTTTATAAAATAAAAGTCTAGTTTTATCCAGACACCGCATATACAGCTTGGGACACCGGTCTCCATTTCCAGATGAAGACTGACAAGAAACACTACAAAATATTAGCCCGATAATTAATAATAAAAATGAACCACTTACCAAGTACTGCCAGCTTGAGTGTAGAATAGTTATGTAAATTAATGGCATCTTTCATCGACGGGTGAATAAGAGTCGAATAGCAATATTTACGATTGGCCATCTTGAACTCAGTGTTGTCAGCAATCCGTGTGTCTCGAGTACCCGTGGAGAAATGGTCAATAGTCCTGGTGACACTTGACTTAATTAATTTGAAGATTTAGTAGATCCCCCCCATTCTGTCTGGAACTCGTTGGAACTTGTCCTGATGTTATACTGCCAAGTAATTTCCTAAAAGTAGATAAAATATTAACATAATGAGACAGATTAATTTAACTTTCTGGTCCGTTTGGCTTGTTGGAGAGAGAGAGAGAGAGAGAGAGAGAGAGAGAGAGAGAGAGAGATTAACATACACTGAACACAAACTAGGTTATTTCGAGAATAACACATGGTCCAATTTTATTTCAATAATTCGCATTCGCGTAGGACCTGGAGAAAACCTATGAGGTTGGTCAGACGACCCTACTCCTTGTCACGTACAACTGGGGAATCAAAACCCTGCCAGTTGACTCAATGACAGACCTTATTTGTAGTATATAGATCGGAAGCTCTAAACCATTCAATATCTCAATCATCTTGATGCTCTAGAGAGTTGATTATACGCTTTTCATGTTAATAAATGTCTAAATAATAAACTATATATATAACATATGAAGCCAGAAAAAAGATCTCCAATACAGTGTGTAATATAAGGGATTTTTTGTGGTACAACAGCGTTTCTGCCAGTCCTTAGTCAAATTACAACTGTCAATGGTCTTTTAACGTGTTCTTGGGACCCATCTAAACACCGATACACTGATCCTTGCCAGAACCCTCCCCCACCCTCCCCATCACTGACAAGGGGGGGGAACTTTCGGAGTTAACAACAACTGTTAGTGAGCCAGCACCTTACTCACTGGGGGTTGGATGGCCAAATGATTTGCAGTGCGTGCTGTATCATAAAGCCTGTCATTGAGTCAACTGACGTGGTTTCGAATCCCCAGTTGTACGTGACAAGGAGTAGGGTCGCCTGTCCAACCTCGTGGGTTCTCTCCGGGTCCTCTGGTTTCCTCCCACTGCTAAAGACCCCTACGCACAAGCGAATTATTGAAATAAAATTAAACCATATGTTGGTCCCGAAATGACCTAGTTTTTTGTCGAGTGGATGTTAAACCCCATTTTTCTCTCGCACCTTACTCACTGAGCCATCAGTCAACTTCATAAAACAAGATCAACACAGTGCAGTCTATATCAGCTGTCTATTATAACAAACTGTATAAAAACACTGAGTCGTCATGTTTCCCTCTAGTCACATTAACCTATCAGTACTTATATATACATGTATCTCAACAGCCACAATTGTCAATAAAAACATTGGCAGCCACAGTTCCACAAATCCTTTATATATTCTTTATCCTCAACTTATATCCCAAGGTAAATGAAATGAAATGAAATGGGGTTTAACGTTCTACTATTCTGCTCCGAACTGGGCTAATGAAGACGAGCATATGCCATACAGTGTGTTATGAGGGAAATTTTGCCCGGACAGGGTCACTACGGCGTTCTCTTATATCGAATTCCAACTGTCAAGGGATCTTTTATGTTCACGCCAATGTGTACACGGGAAATCGATCTTTCATCCCATCCGAACGACTAGACAGCTGTCCTTGTCAGGCCCTCCATCCTGCATCACTGACAAGGGGGAACCACACCGGAAAATCTGGATGAACTTTCTCAGCCAATGCAGGGATCGAACACCCGACCTCCAGGCTAGCAAGCCAGCGTCTTACCCACTTAGCCACCATGACCCCCTATATCCCAGGGTACATTGCAGCAGTTTGTATTGCAACTTAAAAGTTGTTGAATGTAGCAGGGGGGGGGGGGGGTGATAGAGAGAAATGGAGTTTAACACCCACTTGACACAAACTAGATCATTTTGGGACTAACATATTGTTTAATTTTATTTCAATAGTTCGCTTGCTCGTTGGGGTCTTTAGCAGTGGGAGGAAACAGGAGGACCCGGAGAAAACCCACAAGGTTGGACAGACGATCCTAGTCCTTGTCATGTACAACCGGGGAATCGAAACCATGCCAATTGACTCAATGACAGACCTAATGATACAACACGCACGCGCTACCCATTCGTCCATCCAACACCCCAGTCACAACTTTGACATAAATCCTTCATTAATGAAAGTGTGATGTGTATTTTCTTCATTAAAATGAAATGAAAATAAGGTTTAATTTCCTACTGTTCTGCTTCGAGTGGTCTAATGAAGACGGGCGGTGTGCTACGACCTTTTTTTATATCGAATTCCAACTGCCAGGGGATCTTTTGCATGCATGCCAATCAGGTCCATAACTAGGGGGGCGCAGACGGGGGGCAAAGCCTCCACTCCCCTGCAAAAAGTTTCGCCTTCCCCCCTCCCCTGTGAAAAAATTGTCGACCATTAAAAAAATAGATATACATTGGACACCTGTTACCACTGTTTGTCGTGTATTTTGTACACGAGGAGCAGTCCATTTGCTGATTACACTATTTTGCTTGAATACACTATTTTGCCTATAACGTTTTTTAGGACTTCAAATTCTGTCTTATGGTTTGGATTGTTCGTACTTGGTTTTATTTTATTAATTATAGCACCCCTGTGAACACTTCCCGCGCTGATGCCAATGTGTACATGGGACCTTGGTGTATCATTCCATCCGAACAACTATACATTGTCCCTTGCTAGACCCTCTGTCCTGCACCACTGACAGGGGGGAACCATGCCTGAAGTGGAAAATCGCAATAAACTTTCTGGACATTCACTGGGATCAAACACTGGACGTCCAAGTTAATCAAATAAAGATTAAAAGAACAGTATAAATAAGAAGATAATGATATTAAAACTAGCGATATCCAAAAATATACATTGCTAACAAAACTATCTTTGGTTAATTCTAAATCTGCCTGTCACACAATTCTGTTGTGTTATATAATTGAATGCAAGAAGCATTAACAGTAGCTATAAACCAGTTTAATGGCTTCTAAATCATGATAAAATCCATCGTTACGCTTTTTAATCTTTTGTCTTTTTGTGAGTTTAAATCTGCTTTAAGAATATTTCCCAAGCTTGATTCCTTTTTTTAAAGCTTTTTTAATCTAAAAGAAATATGACGTCGGTTGTGTAATAATTCCTGAGTAAGACTTAAAACTAATGTTCAATCTGTTATGTTTTGTAAGGTTAAGATAAAGAGCTGGATGTTCTTGCTATAATAGTTTAAAAATAGAAAATGAAAAATGAATATGGGTATATTGAACATTTTAAATTTAATTGTAGCTAAGTTATGAGTGGTTGAAATTTTAACAAGATAGTCTCAATTGTCAAGTACTATGCTATGATAATAAACAAAGTCTCATTTAAAGATGTGGCAGAAATGAAATGAAATGGGGTTTAACGTCCTACTGTTTTGCTCTGAACTGGGCTAATGAAGACGGGCATATGCCATACAGTGCACTATGACCTACTCTTATATCAAATTCCACAGTAGTAACCAGTACTTAGAATAAGGCTATTTTTTATTTTCTGGATCTGTCAAGCCAGCAAGAGTGTTATTGTCCCTTTAAAAATGTTTTAAATGAAATGAAATGGGGTATAACGTCCTACAGTTCTGTTTGAACTGGGCTAAAGAAGACGAGCATACGCCATACAGTGTGCAATGTGGGAAATTTTGTCCGGGCAACGGCACTATGGCTTACCATTATATCAAATTGCCAAGGGATCTTTTATGTGCACGCTGATGTATACACAGGACCTCAGTTTTTCACCCCAACCGAACAACTTGACAGCTGTCCTTGTCAAGCTTTCTATCCAGCACCACTGACAAGGGAAAAACCATGTCGGAAAATACTGATGGACTTTCTCCTCCAATGCAAGGATCAAACATGTGACCTCCAGGCTACCGAGCCAGCGCTGTACCCACTTAGCCACTGTGGATCTCAAATATGTTTTAAAAGTCGAATGATATATACAAAACACATTAAATACACCACAGTAAATAAATATTAATTGAAAGCCTCTTGGTTGTCAGTTTTTTCTTCAAAACACTGTAGAATGACAGGTTATTGCGTAAATTCCACAGTTTCAGAGCTTGTGTAATAAAACATCCTTTGTCACATGTACATACTTTTCTTGACAGGGTTTTAATAAAATATGATCTGAGAATCCTACTCACTGAAAACATTTCTCAGCGTTCTGTTAAAGGTTCGAAACTAATATAAAATTCTAGAAAAACAATTCTCAGCGTTCAGTTCAAGGGACTATACTATATACCGGAAAACACCGGAAAACACCAGAAAACAACCGGAAAACACCGGAAAACTACCGGAAAACACCATGTTATACTGAATACCGGAAAAACACTAAATACTGGAAAACACACTAAATACCGGAAACCACCCTAAGGGCTATACTATAAACCGGAAACTAACCCTAACCCTAACCCTAACCCAGGCACACAGAGGACCAGGCTCCCAGTTACCTATTTAGGGTGCCAGTCTCCGGGTTACCTATTTAGTGTGTTTTTCCAGTATTTAGTGTGTTTTCCGGTATTTAGTGTTTTTCCGGTATTCAGAATAAAATGGTGTTTTCTGGTTGTTTTCCGGTATATAGTATTGCCGCAGTTCGAGGTTCTAAACTAATATAAAATTCTAGAAAAACAATTCTGCGTGTTCAGTTAAAGCTTCTAAACAAATCAATCTGATTAAGATACAGATCCTATTTCGTCTCGTCTTTTTATAGTTCAAAATTTTGTTTTATTTGTCTTTACTACACTAGGATCTGGAAGAGTTGTTATTTTACTGGCCTTCTGGTTAATAAAGTGAGGGATTAGCCAATGAAGCGGTCTGTTACAGTGACTTCTTGGGCACGGAAATGTGGGTAAACCACTAGAAACATCAACGTTGATCGATTAATCAATGTCTGACATCATAGGGTCAAAAGCCACTCGTACGACCTCTGATGCGACCTTCCACTACAACTGGTCAGATCTTCATGTAGTGTGGGCCATCGAGTGTATAAAAAAATGAAACGAAATATAGATCTGTATTATAATCAGATTGTAGATGAATATAAAATTCAAGGAAACCAATTCTTTAAAGGCTCAATACCACTCTTGTTGTAACTGAATAATATGTCCCAATCTTTAATCTGGTCAACAAATTGTACTATTTTACAATATTCCAATTAATTGATGATATAAATTTCATC